CCCCCCGCACCCCTCCCACCACCCCAAGTACTTTTCACTATGCAACCTTAATTGTGGACTCTTGTGTGAATTTAACTATTATAGCAAAAATGTTACAGTATTTTATTAATCTTTGTAAGTCACAAAACAGTAAAAAAGCAAGATCAATGCTGATAAAATTTAATATAGAGTTAGTGTCATTTTGATAATGAATGTGAAATAAATATAAAATTAAAGTTGGAAAGAAAGCTTTGAAAGTTTAGATTTTCTTGAGAAAAGCAACATGGGCAACACAGAAAAGGCTTTCCCCCCGACTCCTGCCCCAAATACAGCTTTGTTAGTGCTACAGGAGAGACAGACAGTGGAGTAATATGAACTACTAGGTGTTCTGTTACCCAATCTAGCATCAGAATTCTCATTCTGATTAAGTGACATCTACGCTCCTCTTTTTTTTATTTCTTCTCAGTACACAACAGTGATGGGTTCTAAGAACATTCATTTAATTTAGTGCTTCTGGAAAAACAGCATAATCACATGAGTTTCTCTCTTAAATTTATTTCCTTTCCTTCAAACTTAAAGGCTTTGCCACAGAAATCAAATGATGACTTTAAGACTTTTTGATAAAATCATCAGTCTCATCACTGAAATCATAACTCTAAATGCCTTTCCAAATTTATCACATGAAAATAATAATTATTAAACTAATTTAACATTATTAAGATAATAATTATTAAACTCCACATGTGTGGGTGGGGGGGTGGAGTGCCATGGTTGAGGAATGCCCGAAAGATAATAGGAAAAAACCAAGAGAGCTAGATGTACTGGCATGGAAAGATGTTCAGGACCAAACACCTATAGAAAAGAGAAAATGCAGAGGACTACAAACAGCATGGTTTTATTTTTATTAACCAAAACAAAACAATAGATATGTCATTTTGAGAAAGCTGTTTTATCTGTTTAGCATTTGTCTATACAACAACCAATTCTCCTTCTGATAATTTTTGGGAACTTCTTAAGTGTGTTTAGGTAGGCAGTTGCCCGTATCCTACTTAAGAGTAGGCATCTGAGCCAGCTCTGGGCAGTCAAAGGGCTTTCAGTGACTGTTCGGCCGTGTTGTTGTTCTCGTTAGTTGTCATCAAGTATATTCCAATTCACAACAATCCTAAGAACAACTCATGTGAACCTTGTCCTATCCTTCGCCATCCACACAATCTCTGAGTTGCTCAAGTCCACTGTCACTGTCAACCCATCTCCTTGAAGGTTATCTTTACTTTCACTGACCCTCTACTTTTCTTAGCATAATGTCTTTTTCCACTCCTACTAACATGTCCAAAGTATATGAGTCAAAGTTTCACCATCCTTGCCTCTAAGAAGTACACTGCTTGCCATTTTTTAAGATAGATTTATTTGTTCTTTTGGCAGTCTGTGGTTTATTCAATACTCTTCACCAACATCACAATTCAAAGGCATCAATCTTTCTGTCATCCTTATTCACGGTCCAATTTTTTGATGCATAGGTAGCAGCTGAAAAGACCATGGCTTGGTCCTTAGTCTGTAAACTGACATTCTTGTTATTTTAGCACTTTGGAAAGATCCTTTACAGCAGATTTTCCCTGTACAACATGTCTTTTGACTTCTTGACTGCCATTACCAAGATTATTGATTGTAGATTCAAACAAGATGAAATCATGAACAATTTCAATCTTCTCTCCATCTACAATGATATTGCCTACTGCTCCAACAGTGAGGATTTCTGTTTTCTTTATGTTGAGATGTAATCTATATTGAAGGCTAAAATCTTTGATCTTCTGCAGCAATTGTTTCAAGTTCTCTCCACATTCCAACACGCAAGGTCGTGTCATCTGGATAGTACAGGCTATTATGAGTCATCTTCTAACCCTGAGGAAATCCTGCTTCTTGAATTATTAGTTCAGGATTCAGACTGAGTAGGTATATTGAAAGAGTACAACTTTGAAATACACCTTTCCTGATTCTAAATCATGTAGTGTTCCTTCCTTCTGTTCAAATAATTACTTCTTGGTCTATATAAAGGTTTCACATGAGCACAATTAAGTGTTCTAGGATTCTCCTTCTTCTCAATGCTATCCATAACATGCTATGATCCACACAGTCAAATGCTGATGCAGAGTCATGAAATTACAAATAAATGTCTTTCTGGTAGTCTCTGCTTTCAGACTTCATTTGACTTCAGTAATGACATTCCTCAATCCATGGCCTCTTCAGCTTCAATTTCTGGCAGTTCTTCCCTGTTGATGTACTGCTTCAGTCATTCTTTTAAAAAATCTTCAGCAAGATTTTACTGCATATAAAATCAATGCTATTGTTTGATACACAATCTGTTGGAGCTATACTTAAAAAAAAAGAACAAGTATGATTCTCATTCAATTGTATTTGTTAGGAATGCTTTATTCTTGCTGTTGTAGTAGCTAATGAAGGCCACACTGTTACCATGAAAAAAAGTACTTGAAGAAAAAGCCAAGCAGACACAACAAGTAGGACCAAGCCCCAGAGTCAGAACACAGCACTGAAAGCACTGTTTAAACTCCTGAAGACATCTGCTCTCAGTGACAAAATCCAACACATATTCATTGGTTGTCTGAGGTAGGGAAGGATGGCAGCTCTGAACTGATTTCTCTAATTGTTAGTGGAACTGTATAACGGTTAGAAAGAGATGCAATACTACTAGCTTTGAAGATGGAAAAAGAGACCTAAGAGCCAAAAATAAAGAAAATCTCCAGACTGAAAAGCACTTTTCCCAAAACCTTAATTCTAACCCACTGAAACTCATGTTGGATTTTGAACCTATAAAAATGTATACTAGTAAAGCTATGTTAATTTAAAGCCATCAAAAATCATTTGCAAATACAGAAAGATGCAGAATAGTTCTAGGATTCAACAGCACTAGCTCTATGAAGTTGGATAGGGGTGGGGTAGTTAGAACTGAGATTTTTAAAACATTTGTAACAATAAGCAAGTTCTTTTTACTAGTTTAAAAATAATTTTAAACATATTTAAGAATGAAAACAGAATAAAAATATCAGAATCACAAGTATCACCATCCACCCAAAAGCACTTTTAAAAAGCAACCAAAAAACAATCAAAAACAGGGCAGCATCAATTTGGCTTGTGAGGAATCCCAACTAGTGTCACAATGCTGCTGTTTAACACAAGGGGCCAGTCACTGAGCCAACACATCCTATTGCCACACCACACATTCCACTAAGCTAGGCCCTTCCAGTAAATTCAATTTCATTGGAACAATGTTCCCTATTGCATGGGCCAGGACATAACTATCCAATGTAGTCTCCAAGTTGACTTTAGACATGGGGCTGGGGGAGGCATGGAAGGGAAGCCAGACTAGTAATTGGCCTAGAATTATAATTTAGCAAACTTTTCAATAGACAACCAACCAACTGCTAACAAATTGCTAGGCCAATGAAGAACTACTTTGCTCTGCACTGAGCATTTACTGTAAGGAAAAAGTGAGCCAAGTCCTTTATGCCACATTGTAGAGCTCGCTGCCACTCAGGAGGTCCCCTACTGAATGTTAAAAGGCTTCCTGTCGGGAAAAGGAGAAATGAGCTCGGCTGCCTTGATCTCCTTTCTTTCTCTCCAGTCATTCTCCCACCCAGTGCTTAAGACATAATACTAAAGAATAACCTATGTCTGGTGTGCAGGCCAATTAAATGCCCAATGCAAAGGCTATTTTCAATATAGTCCTCAAATATTTTTTATAAAGGAAACTATCTGCTTCTAATATTCTCCTTCCATACAATTCATTTCTTGGGGGGAAAAAAAGGTAGTTCTTACTTTGAATACATGCCTTTTCTACACTGAATTCATTTAACTTGGACATGATTCTGCCAAGTTTAGGGAAAGGATGGTCTACTTGGCTGTACACAGAATTCATTTGTCTCAAAGTGGTACATCAACAAAGCTGGCAAACTCACTGTTATTCGGTTTGCTGAGTAGTGGTGAAGAATTAAAGGACATTTTCTATTTAGGGGCATTTCTGTTTCTAATAAATAGTTTTTAACTTTTTTCTTTGTACTTTATATTGGTTTGCATACAAACTTCATATATAATGAGTTTCACTCTTTCCTCCATTCACATTGCACTTCATATGATCATTCTCATACATTGTGTTTTATAAAAGTTATCACCCTTGATCTATATTCACCATTACCCTGTCTTTTCAGGTCCTCAAAAGATCTTTCCCATTTGTTCTCCTCCCCTACCCCTTCCTCTCCTCTTAGCTCATAAGGGGTATGACCAGAGAGATAAAAAAATCATTAAGGCTAGAGTTCTGGGCTAAAGTACAATGCTTAAAGCACAGAAACAAAGCATACTAATGATGTAATTAAGTCAGAACTCTGATGTTTTCCAGCTTGCCTAGCAGAAAAAAACTAAGGTCAATTTTAGAACCCAATTTAATGACAGAGGTTAATCCAAAATTCAAGCAGAGAATTTCTCTTAATTACAAACTAAAATTTTATATTGTCTTTTGTTCTAAAAGCAAGCTTTACATATTATAGGTTTGTTAAAGTAGCTCCAAATTTCACTTACTTTAAGCAGATACTTTAATATTTTTAATGAAGGTTGCTATTAGACTACAGTCAGAAAGCTAGAAGGAATCTGATCTTACTGTGTACATCTCTGGTCCTTCTTTCAACTTCTTATAGTTCAATTAGATTGTAAAGCAAAGGTAGCATATTTCCCTCAGCCCACGTGTGGTTTTTTTTTTTAAAAAAAAGCGTTTTAATAACATTATCAAATGGACTACTTGTTATTATATAACAAAAATCAAAATAATAACTTTAGTTAACACCATAAAGCCATATAAAGAATTGGCCCGAATAAAACTCAATCTTTGTGCAGAACAGGGATTGGTGCCCTGCTTTCCTGTTGAGAAATGAGAGAGTAAGACAATCATTGCCATTATTTCTCTAAAACATCCCCCTCTGACAACTGCAGGCACCAGTTGGTGGTGGATCACTTACCTACACACAGGATGTTAAAACAGAATCCTTGAGACGTAGACTTGTTGACCAGCTGATCAGGGAGGCTATCAAATCCAACATGGCCTGACAGGGACAAGTTTCGAAGTTCTTCATTCTGGAATTTCAGAAGGGAATGTTTGAGAACTCGGGAATTGTGTCACATGGAGATGCACATTACAGACAAGTGTTGCCTCTTCCTTCCTCTCCTTTGTTCGTCCACAGAAACAAAGACATTCTCTCAGCATCCACAACCTCCTTCAGCTCTCTGCTACCAACACCACCAAAGCCTTATCCTTTCACAAAACCACACGCTCTTTCCCCAAAACAATCTATACCTCAGGGTAACTCATTCCTTATTATAAGGGGAGCGGCATAAGGAAATTTTAACATCTAGAAAAGGCCACACATTAAGAGATGCCTAGAGATGGAGCTCTGAAGTCACACGGAAACCACCCATTTTGACAATTTCAAATACTTAAGCAAAGCTTACAATACATAGGGAAAGTAAATAAATTATACTCTTCTTGACACACAAAGAAGCTTCTGAGAAGCTCCCAAGAAGGAATATATATCTTATCACAATTATGGAAATGCTGTAGCCACCTTAAAAAAACAAGTTTAAAACTACTGAGAACATAATTGGCCTTATCTTCCTCCTTAGCTTTACAGACTCAGCAGCCCAACCCCTGGTAGCTGCATTCACTAGATCTTCTCGGAGCTTACTGATAGAGATTAGAGGGAGGGAGCTGTCATACATTAAAACAGGGGATTTATGCCATTCCATAAACTGATGCTAAATGGCTCCTCAACCTGCAGCACGTCCACAGGTGTGGGTCATAACCTGTGAACCTCTCATCTGTCAGCATTAATTTATTATATCACAATATGGCTTTTATTTCAAGAAATGACATGTTGGCAATATTGGAAGTTTCTAGAAGACAAGGTTATTGGTGTTCTGGTTATGTGATCAATGAACATTTTTACATCGATATCACTGAGTTTGGGTGACAAAATGAAATTCAAAGTTTCTTTTCTTAAAAACAAAAAAGAGAAAAAGCTTTGCCCAGCTTTGTCATGCTTGTATGAAATGACCCGTTCAGTAGTCAAGGATTAATGTCCCCATCCATTTCTAAATTTCTATCTGCAGTGAAATGTGACTCCATAACCAAATGATTCCCCTGGAATGTTTTAGGAACAATGTCCTTCCTTGCCAGCTCTCAAATTCTCATTCTGTGAAATAAGACTAAAAACTGCCACAGTGCCTGAATACTATGGTGGCGGCTGCAGGTTTGAGGTCAGCGGGGCAGAGAACAGATGCTTCGTCTATGAATAGTTTCCTTGAAACCTGCCAACAGTAAATATGCAGGCCTCCAGAGTAGGCACTTATCCTTGAAGAGGACAGAATGGGCACCAGCTCACTCAATGGCTTCCAGAGAAGGATCCAGTGGGCACAGACCAAACCTCCCAACAACACTCCATTTCTGAGGGTCTCAAGGCTAGTACCTGCCCCTTCCTTTCTGGTACCTCAAAGATTCAGACAGCATGTATTTTTAGGGTGTTTACCACATCCTTCAGGACTTGTGGGAGGAGGATGTGCAATGAGTCCTCAGCTATATTTAGAACACTTTCCATCACAGCTGTGCAGTGGCTGTTGTGTATCCGGCAGGGAGACACCATCCCATCTGCATGGTCACTGGATGGAGTGAAAGAAGACGAGGCAAGGGAGAACTGACATTCCCTCCTCTTTTCTGCAATCCTTCTTTTCATTTCCAGGGGAGGACAGAAGGATGGGTTCTTGCTCTAGATTCTGAATTGTTGGGTTCTTCAAACACCAGATACCCTAGATACCCTCCCATGAGCCAATCAGAGTTAGTAATTATAGCTCTGATCCCAGAAGCCAGTGCTCAGCATCTCATATTCTCACTGTTTCCAAAACACAAGAAACCACCCACACACCCATTGGGTATTTTTATACCCATTGAAAGCCACATACAAAATGCAGGGTTGAAACTGTTGACATTGACAGTTATGCCTTTGGAACTCTGTCTTCTAACTTTGTGTTACAAAACATCTAAATTTTGGAATGCAATTTTCAAAAACCTTAATTCTCTGACCAATACTAAAGGTATCCTGATTGTCATTGGTACCATCAATCAGTCTATAATAGCAAACAGAAAAATAGGAACTTCTTCTTTTTGGTTCATGAGCAGGCTATAAAACCTGGAAGCTACTGCAGGAAATGCAAGGAAGAGCTCTGAGTAACTCAAGTGGTGACTCACACAGAACAGCTGAATTGAATTCCTGTACTTCTGTATTCTATGGTACATGAACATTGCCTCTTGCCTTAATCATCACTATCCTAAGAATCTGGGCTCTTTCAGTCTAGAGACCCAGTCCTGGGAAATCACACATATCATCAGGTCATTAACATTATCACCTGTCTAGCCATGGCTCCTTGAATTCCACCTTCAATGTTCAATCCTTTTGCTTAGGTTCTAATTTCGATCATACAACCAGCTCCCTTGAGCTGCCTGATCTGTACCTCAAACTCTTGCACACAAAATTGAAATCATATTCCTCTAACCTAAACCTATTTCTGCTCCAGAGTTCCCTATTTTCTAACGGCACTTAATTTTATCTGTGACTATGTCTCCTGTCATAAACTGCTAAATCTTTTCATGCAATATCGAGTCTTCTCTTCTATTCCTACTAATTCAACAGCCTCCCTAGTGATTGCTCTGCTCTGTTTCCACTCTTCCCTGATGCATTTTCTCTCCCTCACTGACAAAGGGCTCAAAAGACTTCCAAATCCAAACGTGTTCACCTGGTATCTCAAGTCCTCAATCTCACTGAACTGACCACACTCCATGGAGCACCTGACCTGCAGCTAAACCGAATTATTTAATATTCCTGGGACTCCTCTAGGTTTCAACACCCACCTCCACATTATAGCTGACTCACATTATTTCATTTGGAAAGGGCTTCAATTCATTGTTTACATGGCCAAGCCTTCTAGATTCCACTCAGATTTAACTTCTACCATTATCTTCACTGTATTATCACAGAAAGACTTTCAATAAACACTTCCCATACCAATAAAAGGGAAATACTAATAAAAATGGCTCAAGCTATTCAGTATTTCATGATCATCCTCAAAACAGCTAATATTTATTATCATAACTAATCTTCCAGATCGGATCTTCCAGATCTGGTGGCCTGTGGTTAAGGAATTGCACTGCCAACACAAAGGCAAATGGAGTGAATCCACCAGTTTCTCCATGGAAGAAAGATGAGCAATCTCTTCCCATGTGATTTCCTGCCTCTGAAAATCTGCTGGAGGGGCAGCTCTGAGTCAGCTGACAACACACAAAAACAGTCTTACAGAAAAGTGTTAAAAATGAAGGAACCAATTTGTTCTCTGAACAGTTCTTTGAGTTACGATTACCAAGGCCAGTTTGTTGTTGTTACGTGCTATCAAGTTGCATGCAACTCATAGCGACCCTATGCACAAAAGCCTAAATAGGCTAAACCCTATTCTATCCTATGTCAACCTCACTGCCTCTGACACACCTACCCCCACTGTCGCAGTGACTGACCCAATCCATCTCATTCATAGTCTTTCTCTCCTGCACTGTCCCTCCAACCTCCAAAGCATGGCATATCCTTCCCGAGGACTGGATCTCTCCTTGTAACATGCCCTAAGTATATACAGATGAGAAAATAAGACACTGAAGTTTAAGAATCTGCCCAAAGTCAAGTAGCTAGTAAGCTACTTGAGAAGCCGATATTTGAATTCAGGAAGCTCTAGAAGTTCTAGAGTCTACCCCTTTCGTCATTATACTGCTATCTCATGGATGATCTAATTAGCTCCTAGACAATTCCAGACAATAAAATAATTTCAACTACTATAAAAATTAGAAGCTTCAGAATCCCTGGTTCCAAGGAGCAGCCTGGTCTCACCTTCTCTAGAACGAAACTGTTTGTTCTCCTAGCAATCCATGGTATATTCAATACTCTTCTCCAGCACTACAGCTCAAAGGCATCAATTTACCTTCTATCATACCTAGTCGTTGTCTAGTTTTCTGATGCATATAGCACGTAATTGCGAAGACCATGGCCTGAATCAGGAGCACCTAAGTCTCCAGATGACATTGTTGCTCTTCAGTACTTTGGAGAGTTCTCTGACAACAGACTTTCCCAATGCAATTCATCTTTTAATTTCCTGGCTGCTGGTACCAAGACTGCTGATTGTAGAGTCAAGGAAACGGAAGCTGTCTTCACTGTCTATCATGATGCTGCCAATCAGCCCAGTAGTGAGAATCTTTGTTTTCTTGATGTTGAGCTTCAATCCATATTGAAGGCTGCAGTCCTTGACGTTCTGCAGCAAGCGCTTCAGGTCTTCCTCAATTTCAGCAAGCAGGTTTGCGTCATCCTCCTCCAATCCTGGTATTACATTTCTACTCATAGAGCCCAGCTTCCTGGATAATCTGTTCTGCATATAGATTGAAAAGGGTATGGGGATAGCTTCATCTGACATACTTGGGCATGCTGCAATAAGGGACCAGTCCTTGGAGAGGGATGTCATGCTTGAGAGGGTGAAGGGACAGCCCAAGAGAGGAAGACCTTTGATGAGATGGATTGATTCTGTGACTGGGGTAATGGGAATAGGTGTGCTGGAGAGAGTAAGATTGGCACAGGATAGAACACGTTTAGGATTGTTGTACATAGGTTTGCTTTCAGTCATAAGCAACTTGACAACACATAACAACAACAAAAACTATAAAAATCCAATTTAAGTCTGAAAATGCTACATGACAGATTGCAACTCTGTGTAAGTCTGAAAAAGATAACAATATATGACACATATTGTTATGTGTTAATGAGTTGCTTCTAACTCACAGTGACTCTAGGACAAAGTATAATTGTTCTGCTGAGTTTCTAAGCAGTAATCTTCAGAACATGTGACATCAGGATTGGAGGAAGACTCATCAAGAACCTATGTTACTCAGATGATACAATTTTTCCTGCTGAAAAGTGAGGAGAATTTAAAACAATGGTGCAAAAGATCAAGGACTAAACCTTTCAAAAAGAATCAGATCTCAACACCAAGAAGCC